AAAGAAACAATACAAACACTATAAGTCTTCCGTTGTGAACGGAAGACTTAATAATAATAATAATAAGAAACCGAGTAAAAACAATATGTTCCCAAACTCCGTTTGGGGAACATAATAATAATAAGAAACAGAGTAAAAACAATATGTTCCCCAACTTCGTTTGGGGAACATAATTAAGTGTTGTCAAATGATTTGATAGTCACAAGATATACGCATATAATTTGGTAACGGTAATTAACATATATTTGAAAAAACTTTTTCTAACTATTTTGTAGTTCCTGGAAAGTGCTGCTACTTTAAAAAGATTTCGAGTGTGAATTTAGAGCAATATTTCTCAATCAAGCTGAATATGTGTAACCTTTACCAGCCTTTTATATACTAATATGGATTATTTCTAGATTTTGTCAACGCAGCAGCATTTTCAATCAAAATATTTTTCCAAAAAAAAGAGAAAAAAAATTCCTTCCTTTGTTTTTGAAAACAGTTAATTATAAAAATACAAACAGAGCTGATTATAACGTAGGCCTTTACAGATGTTCCCAAAAACGCCCCCAGCTCCATTTCGGTGCCTCGTTCCCTGTATGTATCATTAAATAAGGCAATCCAGGTTTTTTTTTTGTTTTACGCATTACACATGCACCAACGTGTATGCCTTTTTCTGATGACCTTGTCACTTTGTCTATGATACCAATAGATTTTAATACTCTAGGTATCTAAGTATTTAATAAGAAAGTATAAAATTATTGTCTTCTTACATGTGCTTGCACTTGGCTCTCATGTAGTGGGTAAAATAACCAATATACTTATAAAGCCATTACTTTGATATTCTTTTATGTAAAGCTTCGATACGCAGAATAATTACAAGAAAAGGATCTGTCAACAAGCACAGTCATGTAAGTGTTTTATTATGTAAACGTCCAAGTGTACATCTGTTAATCACGCAAATGAAACCCTCAGATTATATTCAAAATTAATTGATCCTAAAATAAATGTATACACATTGAATGAAACAAAGAATTGTGCAGTAAATAGTTTGAATTTAGTGTAATTGCTGTCGCAATTTTTTGATATTTTAAAATGTTTATTGCTTAAATAAATGTACTATTCTAATGATTTTTTATACATGAAAAACTAATTTATAAATACACCCCAAATAATTGTTTATATTGTGTATGTGATGGAATAATGGAAACATTGTTTTAATTCATTGTAATTCAATAAATTATTAGGTTATTAGGGCGGTGAAAATAATATTGAATGCTCTCTTAACCATGGTATTAGAGTTTTAATTAAAAAAAATTCCAGTACATCAAGATTTATTTTAAGTGATAAAAATACTTTTCTGACATCTTTGTTTAATTTTAGTTTTTATTTTTTAACTAATTGTAGACAGTTGTGTAAATTAACAGCCCCTGAAAACGTATAGTAATTAAATTAATTCTACCTATTTAAATTTTGTCCGTGTTTTTAACACCTCTCTGCTGAAAGTAAACAAATCAACATTGGAAAGACTGAAAATTTAGAATACACAAGGGCGGAACTTTCATGTTACTCAGTGTCATTTTAACGCATGAGTGAACAAAGCAGTCCCAAGGACTGCTGGTACAGCTTGGTCGGCTTTCTAGAGCAGCCCAACAGTAGTCCCAGAGCAGCACCATAGCAGTCCCAGAGCAATCCTAGAGCGGTCCAAAAGTAGTCCCGGGGACTGCTTTCTGGGACTGCTTGATTGTCAGGGTTATGTTTGGTCAGTACAGTAACTCTAAACAACAGAAGAAATAAATTCAAGAGTCTTTTTTTTAAATCCATGTGTCTAAAGCCCGTGTCACACTTTCACGATTTATAGCTACGATTCACTACGAATTCAAAAATCGCAGCACATCGGGATTTATCGCAGAAGTACTCGCAGGATATCTTCCTTAATCGTGTTGGATCGCAGCAAATCGTCATACTTGGCGATTGTTTTGAGCATGTTCAAAACAGTTATGGACACAGCACGATTTTTAATTATTCTTAGACAATTGCACAGCATCCGCACTGCACTCATACTCATAATCGTCGTAAATCTTCGAAGTTCGTGCGACATTCGCGGAACTTTGTAGTACTCGCGACACTACGAGAGTCCTTCGAGCTATTTCGAGTGTCCTTCGAGTTTGTGCGAGTGTCTCTCGAGTTACTGAGAGTGTCCTACGAGATACTGCGAGTGTTCTTCGAAATGATAAGAACATAGTACGACTTTCCCAAGAAAATGATACGGAAAAGGACGATTGATGGCAAGTGCTGTACGAAAACTGTGCGATTGAACTACGAATTAATACGATGTAGGCAGACGGTGTCTGATGTTAACACTGTCGAAATCAAAATACTGCCTAAAATAAAAGGAAAGAAACTTAGAAAAGTGAAATAAACTGAAAATACATGTGTAACAGAAACTATAAACACCGTGTACAATAAACACACGAAGAGATTGGACATAATCAAAAGTTCCACACTGTAGTTTTTACCATGATCAAATAACATAACTATGATGTTTAATACCGGTAATTTCAGATAAATCTCCTTTACCCCATATATGCATTTCATTACATGTATATTCGTAAGAAATCGCCATTAGTTGTGGGCATATCGTGTATGTAACGTGGCATATCGTAGTCCTTCGTACGAGTATCGTATGTTACCGCGTTTAATCCTTCATAATCGTAGAAATATCGTAGCCAGTTCGTAACACTGTCGCCTTAGTTCGTACTTAAATCGTACAAACCTCGTACTTTGTCGCACAGACATCGCAGACACACCATTTTAGCAGCAAAATATTCTACACGCTGTAGTAAAATCGCAAGACAAACCTGGCGATGAACGGCGATTTTCAACTTTTATTTATTCGTGGGTAATCGTAGCATAAATCGTGACAGTGTGACACGGCCTTTACTATGAAGTATTTTGTGCGAATATACAAATTTTTAAAAACTAATCTAAGTAATCCTTGTAAAATATCCAAATATGAAAAAGATGTGTAAGACTCTGTGGTATTTTTTTTTCAAACTCACTGGGCCAAGCACATCATTGTAAAGTTACGGGTCTTGAAATGTGTCACAGCTGGCGTTGGCACGACAAAATGCCCTGAGTATCGATTACAAGTTTAAATTTAAGCCCTTCATTCTTTTGATCATAACACTGATAGAAACCACATAATCGATCTTTTAGATCATGCACGCAGCGTAGAGCTTATAGCATGAAGAAATCGGTCATTTTTTTAGGTTGTTCACTATAATTTATTATCATCAATTGCAATATACAGTGTACTCCAAGTAAAATTGGGCACATTTAGAAAGACGCAACTATTTCGGCAAAAAATATTCTTATAGAAATTTCATTTACACCCTGTTACTTTAAAAACAAAACGTCAAATAATGTACATATCCAGCAGAAAAATGTAATGGTTTAGAAATTCGTAACTCCCACTAAAGAAATTATATTTCTATTTAAATCAGAGAGCGTATACATACCTTTTGTTTTGAAAAGAAATCCGTCTTTATCTAGTGCCAGTGTAAAATGACGACCAAAGAAGTATGTTGCCGCAATTGGGCGTAAATCTTCAAGTGCAACTTGCAATATGTGCAATTTGCAACATGATATGCATGTTCAGTGAACCTAATACTTTAATAAAGCGCATTTTACATGGATTCATGGCTCAATAATCAATGTACAATACACAAGTGTTCTATGAAGTCGACAAGCAGACATTATATCATGTTTCTTTATTTTGTGCACCCCCGCTCCCCCCCCCCCAAAAAAAAAAAAACATGAGCAGAAAGTGATCTAAAAGGCTAACTGATATTTTTTTTCAAAGATTAAATATTTCTAGCAAAGAATAAGTGATAAGATGTAATAAGGCTAATGTAAGACCAAATCTTAACATCAGAACCTTTGTAAGAGAAAAATATTGCAGAAAAAAAGTGTCTGATTCTTATGAAGACATTGATGAAGATGCTGAAGCTACAAATAAAAAGGAGTGTTTTTTGGCAGATTGAAAACAAAAGAAAAGCAGTCCAGATTACCTGAGTAATAATATCTCATTCTGAATATGTATATTAAAATGAGTTCGTAGGAAATAACTTTCGCAGTTTATTAGTTCAATATCATTAACCTAATTATTATACAATTGTTTAGCTGTGCAAGGATGCATTGTTTTCGAAGGCGTGGGTACTGTAGTGAAATAGAATAATTATGGTCGATTAAAATGTTTCTGTGTTTCTAAATGTTGAATAACCAATCAACGTTTATATAACAGCCAATCAGAGTTCCTCGGCTCAGGAATCTAGCTCTTCAATGTCTCATTAACTAGTGTCATGGAGACTTTTCATTGTTTCTTGGTGACTAATAAGTAATAATAAAAATTTCTTCCTTCTGTTTCCATACACAAATCCAGACAAAATGCTTTCAGTTATAATACTCTAGTTTTTTTAATATCCTTCATGCCCATACAAACGTGTCAGTTGACATATGACTCCAAGTCTCAGTCTCTAACATTTTCAAGAATAAAGTTGTATAATTTGCTCTTGTGGTGAAAACCCCAAAACCTGCAATGATAATTTTGCTTTCAGTTTAAAGATTTCATTGTATATTTTTTTAAAGTGACAATACGGCGCATCTCTTCAAAAACAGACTTGGTAAAATTTTCCTACAGGATTTGGAATTTTTTTCATACTTATAAATGTATAAACTTTCAGAAAATTACAAATTTCATAAGTAAATAATTCTGATTATTTCATAAAAATTAATAATTATTTATGGCCCATAAATATATACATCGCAACGTGTTCGAGGTTCCACATTCCATGCTATTCACGCATGCGTATAGTTTTCATAAACAAAACAGCATGGTAAGAGAGGGAAGCCCGATAGGCCTTCTACATTGACAAAGTTGACCAAAACGAAAAACAAAACCAAAAACAGGGCTTGCAATTAAAAAGCAACTTTTCTGACAAAAATTTAGTAATAGGGCGAGAAAGCGGAAGTGCGAGAGTTCGCGAGATTTGGCGTGAATTGAACCTCTGGAGATAAACAAATCCGCGCATATACATAGGGTAGGCATTATAGATTTCTTGTTTTTAGTGATACAGAATGGCATTGTCCATTCTGTATTGGTTGAATTTTGTATCCGGGACTAAAAAGCTACACCAGAAGTCTGAAGTGGCTGTGAAATCTGAACACGTACTTAAATTCCTGTACGATCCTGAGCTGAGACACGTCCAGGGAAGGGTGCAAGCCAGCATGAGGGATAGAAGCTATCATATTAACGTATGTATCAAATAGTTTGATATTTTATAATAATAATATATAAGTACATAAACGACATTATTTTCAATATTTCGTGTTGCATTTAGATCACACTTGGGGATAATTACACTGTGGAAGACAGTATCTGTGACTGTGTTAATGGCCAGGATAAGTGTCACCACAAAGCTTCTCTTCTGTTATATGGGTATGCATTTTTTTAATACAATAAAAAATATAAATGATTTTTTACCTTCATTTTATCACAGGTACTTGGGTTTTTAAATATTTATAATGTACCTTATTGATATGTAAAATACTTTTTTTACATATCAATAAGGTACATATAAATGTTATTCATCTTAATTTAGGTACAAGAATGTTAGTAAGACGGATGTCAGAGAATCTTGGATAAAACACCCAAAGAGTGGACCCCCAAAGAAAACGATGACCATGGATGAATTATTTCCTCCAACACCAAAACTAGCAAATTATAGGTATACATGAATTATGTGAATGTGAAAAAAAAAACAAAAGTGATATAGATTTTTTTTTTTAAATCCCTCTGCATTCTATTCAAATAAGATTAAATTACATTATACTGACAGGGCAACATCAAGATCAGTTGATGAGAGAGATATAAATTTCTTACGGGAAAAGCTGAATGACCTTGGTCGATTTTCAGGTCTTGATCTGAAAAAAAAAATGTTGAAACATGTTTTGTTCTTTGTTTAATTGAAAATGTTTATACATGTTTCCTTATTTTGTTATGTGACCAGACTAACAAAATATTTTCATTCAGTTTTTGTTGAAATGAAGTTGAGCACTATCAGACTTTCCTGCATATTGAAAGCAAAGTGTACGAGATATCCATTGAAAGTGTTTGCATATACTGTATATTGAGAAAATGTTAAAGTATTGTTATTTGATAGACTAATTAAGTATAACCCATTTTATTATTAAAATCAAACCATAACTACTGTATCATTTTAGATTAATAAAATATACTCATTTCAATCATTCATACATTTATAATTTATTAATTCTATTCAAATTGTTAGCCATGCAATGGATAGTTTCTGAAGAACCCCCTGCTCCCAAAGTGGATGTTCCATGCGTAGAGGATCTTCTGTTAACGGAAGGTTACACAAGTGCGACCAATAAAGTGCAGTGGCTTAAAACAAACCTCCGTGTATCGAAGCAGCAGACAGAACAAGTAGGACATTTATATAAGTATACTCTAGAATTATTATGAATTATAAATACTTTGAATCAGTCCCCACCCATTCTTTATTATTTTTTTTGGGGGGGGGGGGGGTGTACTTTGATTTTATTCCTTTCTTTTAGTCTCTGTTGAAAATACGGATTGGCCAGATCACCTGGTCATTATTTTAAATGTAAAATAAATCACTTCCTTAAGATATTTTAAGATTGAAACAGTAATGAATATGTCTAGATGTCAAGTGTATAATGCACACATCAGTAAATACAAACCCATTTTGAAAAATGTGGGTCAGAGTATACAAATCAATTTTTTAATAATGATGGCACAACACTCATATTTCAACTGATTAACTTTCAAGAGAGGGGATTACATTTTGTAAATATTGTACTTGACATGTCTTCAAAAAGAAAAAAAAAATATATGTGACATTAAAAATAAATATTAAATTGAAAATTATGAATATCATCCATATATCATTTTTACACAAAATATTTTTTAAACTATATTAATACATGTAGTACCAACTATATTATTTTGCAGGTGGCACAAATGACATGTGGTCAACGAACAAATTATCTTTGGGCTTTGGTTAAAAAAAATCGATTAACGGCATCAAATTTTGGTGTGGTACTATCGGCAATAAGAAGACAGAGGTAGTACTTTTTTTCTCATCCAAAAGTAAAGTTAACATATCTTATACAGGTATATTACCTTGTTCAAGTTAAGTATATAATTTACTTTCAACTGAGGAACTATTGATATATTTTTCAGATTCCCACCATCATTATATAAGCAAATCTTTTCCTCATACAATCTCTCGACAAAGGATGCCATATTATGGGGGATCAGTAATGAGTCAACTGCTAGGACAAAATACTGTTCATTTGGAGATGCTATTGTAGAAGAAACTGGTAAGTGCATGTGCTTATGTGTAATTTATAATATAGCCCACAGGTTTCAAACATCTTAAAGGACAAGAATTAATTTAAACAATTTTAAATATTGGAATTGAACGTGAAAAACACCAAACATATTTATTACAGGTGTATGGCTGCATGAGAGTGGCATATTGGGAGCCAGCCCTGATGGAATTATTCGACGTGCAGCGACACACAATTACAACTACCAGGATGTAGAATTAACAGACCTACTCGAGTGCATGGCTGTTAAACCAGAAGTTTTGGAGGTGAAGTGCCCATTTAGTGCAAGGAATATGTCAATTCCCGAGGCCATAGAATCTGTCAAAGACTTTTGCTTGGGTAGGTTTTAGTTTTAAGGTACAATTTCCGCAAAATCTGAAATCTTGATTAAGGAATGGTACATATTTAATACAAAGTTTATTATTTCATGTCTCAGATTACCAAATATATGAAGGAAGGAAGTTCTACAAATTAAAGGAGGGCCACAGATATTACGATCAGGTACAAGGACAGCTGCACATACTTAACAGGTCATCATGCGACTTTGTAGTGTGGACTACGAAAGACATAGCTATCGTGAGAATTCTTCAGGACAGCACCTGGACCCCAAATATGTCAAAACTCATTGATTTTTACTTTTGTAAAATAATCCCAAATATTGTTCAGGACTGACATTTGGAGTGTATGACATCATATAGGCAATTTTGTATATTTGTACTGATATAGGTTTTTTTCATGAGTGACTTAAATTGAAGTTTTTGATTAGTGATTACCAGTAATCCCAATTTATACACATACAAATATGTTATATGTTTATGTAATAATACAGTGAGTTGTAGGGCAATGTCAGACTTGTATACCTGCTACATTGAATATTTTGGGACTTGACTTGAACCGCTTGTTTTCAGTAATCATGAGGCACTATTTATAAGGAATCTTATTGTTATACATATGTACTCGGGGTAAAGCTGGAAACCAACAACAGAAGTTATACTTTGTTTTCTGAATTATTTCTGAAAGTTTTCTCATCATTACACATAATCATGAATAATTATTTCTTGAGTTTTATATTGTATTGATTGATTTTTGCTTGTAGTGTATTTCAGGTTGTTCTTAGTATTTCTTACCACTTAAAAATACACAATATAATTTTTTAATACAGTGAAAGATTTCTTTCAGAACTGTAGAAGAAATAAGTTAAGTATTCTGTTCAAATGTCTTTTTGATGGAAATTAATAAGGGAACGCATTTTGATATATATATATCATAAACTGTGTAATAAATTTTTGACTGTATATGCTTTTTTTTTTTTATCTAGTCGAATACATGTAAGGCCATGCAAAGTTAATTACTTGGTTCTCAGGCCTTTTTTCAAGAAATATGATGAGGGAGGGAGGCATTTTTTTTTTCCACCACCATTAGAATCATGTTGTTTATTGCCCCCAAAACATGACGAGGCAGCTTTTTACATTGTCACAAAACCTCAAATACTAAATGATGAGGGAGGTGATTTGGTGTTTATATTTTATTGATTTAGCATTAGAAAGGGTCAATGAGGCACCCTTGGAAGACATGAGGGAGGGCCTGAGAACCAAGAAATTGATTTTTTTTTTGCCTAATATGCAAGTAAACATTTAGTAGACGAAGTGATGTTCAAAAAAAAAATACATGTAAATTTTATGCACAATATGGAACTACATTTTTTGGTATTTCACATATTCTATGTAAATATTGGACATCATTTTGTCAAAGAATTATTTCATTACAATTGTACTGTTCCATTATCCAAAGAGACTAATGACTCAATGTATTTAATAAAATCGAAATTTTCTATAACATATGTAAAATTTGCTAGCTTTCATGATATTATAGAATTTAAAATATACATGCTTTTTTGCAAAAAATAATGATAAATGGAGTATTTTCAAAGAATCTTTGTAAAGGTCAATGACAACATACTATTTACCTTAAAATGCTCTTTTCAAAGTTGTTTACAAGATTTATGATACATATAATACAACCTTTATTTTCCTGGCACTTATACATAGCACTCTACTTGAAGCAAGGTTGGGTTTGTCAAAACTTTGTTACACTTACATTTACAATATCAATTTAGGGTATGAATATCATAAAAGAAATACATGTTAAAGCTGAACACAATTACAAATACTTGGAACCTCTCATGAAATAAATTACATTTGCTCCACCTCTACATTCTTATATCATATATTAATGAGTGTCTAAATCTTGAGCCTGAATGTAATTATCTGCAATCTCTGCAATCATTGGATCTTGAAAATTGACTAGTATAGAACATACTTGAAAAATTTTCGTGCTTAAATGTCTAAACTTGTGAGGAATGTGAGATAATATCTCAAAGTTCTTAATTCTTTCATTTACCCGCTCTACATGGATACGAGATCTGGCAATTTTTCTGCACAGTTGCACTTCGGCAGGAGTGTATTGTCCTTTGTCTTTCAAGAAAGGAGGGATGTTGAGATGCACACCTGCTGGAAGGAGAGAGTGAATAGTAAAACCTTTATCAGCCAGAATCATATCCCCTGGTTTCAACTGGCAGAGCATTTTACTGTGTTCAACAATGGCCACATCAGATGTACTTCCTGGGTAAAGTTTGCTTACATATACCACAGCTCCGTTAGGGGCAACGCCTGTAACAGATTTTACGGTGTGCCTGTTTTTATATGAGCTATAAGTTTGAGACTGTGCTAACATATCCTGCCCTGGAACGTCTTGGGTCACCTCTGTCGCATCGATCACAAGACGGCAACAATTAAAATCACCAAAACTTGTCGGCATAGAGGACTTGCACTTTAAGAGGGAGGGAATGTTATTTTCAATCATGCCCTCAAAGAACACCTCATGCAAAGCAAAAATATGTGTAACCACAATATTTTGCACTGTTGTCTTACTTGTGTTGAACCTCTCAGCTAAATCTAAATTGGGAGAGTTTAGCTTCAATTTCATCAGTGTCATTAATAACTGGTCAGTTCTTGAAATCACTGCTGGTGTCCAGTTGTTGACATATGTTAATGGAAATCTCTGAATAGTTGAGTCCACTACTCTAAACATGTCTGCTTTCAAGGAGGTGTACATCAGCATCTAATAAAATATGAATTTATGGAATGTAGTTGTCTTAGTTTGTTATAGAGGTAAAATAATACTCCAATGAAATTTCTAATACTGTATATAATTGCATAGAAACAGTTGTATTTTTTAAGGTTGAATTAGAGGGATTGGCCTGCAAAAATCATTTTTTTTTTTATAACTCACGTATAACATGGTATAAGTTGGATGAAGAGTTTTGGACCAAAGTTTAACTCCCAAAAATCAATCTACTTATACATGTTATAGGTGAGTTTATACAGTATATGCGATTTGAACAAGGACTCGTTGTTTAACATCGCTCTCGTGAATTTTTCACTTATATGGAGATGCCTACACTTGCCAGTGCAGGGCTACAAATTCTGACTATACTCGGCACTTATGGCCTTTGAGCAGTGAGGGATGTTTTTCATGCCAGCACTTACTGGGACCTCTGTTTTTACAGTCTCATCTGAAGGACTGGTCTCCATCCCGCAATGGGATTTGAACCCGGGAGGTAAGGATCAACTCCTTATTTCACAATGCTCTAACCACTTCACAGAGGGAGCTACATTGGAACAAATAATGTATCAGTCAGTAAAAAAATGGATACCTTCTTTTCATCATTGATGATCTGGCTTATGGTGAAAGGTTGTTTCCTAGTCTTAAGAATGGCTATTTCTGATGTCAACTTGTCAATTTGTTGTTCAATTTCCTTCAAAAACCATATAAGTGTGTAATTGTATTTTTTTTACAACATTGTACACAAAACAGAGTTTAAGTACTACAATACTAAATACATGTACTACTGAAATTTTTATACTCACTTGGATTTGTTTTAATAAATTTGACTCTTTATCGCAGTAGGTGCTTGTAACGGTCCCGTGTCGCAGTAGATGCTGGTCATGGTCAAAACCCTCACTAAATGATTGAATTGGTTGTGCAGCTTCTGTCTCTTCCACCATAACCGCATTTTCTTCTCCCTGGTTTACAGATGGGCTCTGTTTGCATTGTCTGTATGTGTTACATAATTTGCTTATAACTAACTACTTCAAATTTTTACATATATTCTGTCAGATTTTTTTAACTTCATAAATTTATATTAGCTGTTGATAGAAAATATTTTGTTATTGAATAAATTGTATGGTAAAATGATGTCTCAAAATAATGACACAAAAATATTCAAAACATACCTTGAAATAGCATTAGGGTCTCCAAAGTCAAAATACTGCCCTTGATTCCAAGGGAAGATAGTTGGTCCATTTTCTTTTTTTCCATCTTTGAAATGACAGCTGCATATTCTGTCAGCTGCAGTTACTGTCCTATCTTGTCTCCTGAATTAAATATATTATATTCTAATTATACGTGTAAATATAATCTAGACAAAGATTTGATGTCCGAGTACTATTATTTTCAATTTCATAGCTCTTGTAGATCCACCTCCCCTCTCCACCCGTGCTCTCGTGGGTGATAATTCGGGATAACTTTAAGTTGACTATAAAAGACCACTGTTACAATGAATCAGAATATATTAAAAAGTGAAATACAACACTGATAACTCTGTATTCTTAAGCTGAATTCAATTTCAGGCATTAGGTAACATGTTATAGGCGTACGATTGAAAGGACAGTGTATAACCCGACATTCCTCTGTTATATTTTGAGAAGTGTTTTTTAATAAAACATCATACCTGCAAAGTTTTTCCCATAACTTTATTGATTTCTTTGGGAACCTGAAGAAGCTGCAAGTTTCCCGCAAGCTTTGGTGGTTACAGCTCGCCACAAAACAAAGCATTTTTCACGAGGTGAAACCGGCAATATTGAACCGAAAGCACATGTTCGTAATGTTTATCTCCAGCAGTCAAACCGGAAGTGACGCACAAACGAGACTTTTTCCGGCAGATTTTAATTACTTTAATTCTACATGAGGAGAGAATATTTATTTTTCTCAAATGCTTACTTCAACTTTTTACCTTATTCCTGAATGATATATTGGGTAACTTTGAATGAAAAAGCACACGATTTGCAGCCGTATTGCCGCTTTAAAGTGTTTATACTTTTACCCATAATTACAAGAGAGGTGCATCTCCACATCACTCAATAGTAATTTTTGACCCCATGCCAAAATTAAGACTTAATGTATGCCCTTTCCTGACCCATATTGTTAACAGTGGGGAGGTATGAAAAATATTTTAAAGTCAACCGTACAATGACTGCGAAACAGAACACTTTCTCGTGGAGGTTTGAAGAGCAGAAACTGTTTTATATGCAAAAAAGCAACGATACAGTACGATTTATTTTTAGCAATGACAGAAAACTGAATCCATACCTTAAATGATAGTCATTGAAATCGCATGATAGTGCTGTTAGTATTTATTTAAAGTTAGATAAAATGAGAATAGAAAGAGCGATATATGGTTAGTGTCTCAATTGGCCGCTTAAAATGAATATCTTAATTTTACTTTATATATAGCTTTAATTTGTACAGCTATATATGCGACCTTTATTGGTCATTTTTATTTTGATCAAAATGCCGTTATTTTAAAAATATGACATCATAAAAATCACGTTTTCCCGCCATTTTAGTATATTTTGTATAAAACTGCTTATTTTCAAGCAGTTTTTCTTCCAGAAAATATAGAGCGCAGCCTAGAACAAGCTTTATATTTTTACCAAAGATGTATCTATCCATTATTGATTAGTGACAGAAAAATCATGTATGTTCAACACTGCGCTCTATGTTTCCAATAAGAAAAAACATCAAGAAAAAGGTATATTGTTGGCTTTTTTGTTAACCAGCAAAAATAGCATTTTTTTCTCATGTCATTTACAGCTAGAGAGTACATATAAATGTGAAAAATATATTAGAAATATTTCTAATATAATCTTTTTTTCAAAATAAATATCAAATAAACATATCTGAATGTCATTCCAAAATGTTAATTTTTAGGGGGCCAAAATTGGCTCTTATCATATATTCTCCTTTACAGCGTAAAGTTACCAGAGGCTGATTAAAAATTTTTAGAAAGGAGGAGTCGGTGCAGAAATCAAATGGTTTTCTTAAAAAAAAAAGACCAAAATCGGGGAGCATTATCAGACCAAAACTTTGAGCGTGATCGTTATGTGTAAATAAATTTAAAAAGGTATACATCCAGTTTAGCAAATATAAATAATTATGAATACTAGATTTTGAATCTTAAAATCTCAACATAACCTTTCAATTTTATAAACAATTTTAAAATTTTTAATATGCTATCATAAAAGCTGATATAAAATGTAATTGTTATTACTATGTTTCTCCATTTCCTCCAATTCGCAATAATCTGTATACCACGCCCAATCATAATTCAATAGTAATTGAGATTTTGAAAAGGATTTTTACACAATTATTTGTTTCTTATCTATTCCATCAGCATCAAAACCCCAAGGCCATGGTTTGAATTGTAACAAATTTAAAAAATAAAAGGTGATCTTTAATTAACAGTAAGTACTTAATTAAAATGAATTTATTAGACATTTTAATTGGGCCTATATGAATAAGTAGTGTGTTTTCAGCACGTTCAGTTCTCCGCCTAACTCTTAGAAATATAGGAGGCGGCCCGCAATATTTTTCTGCCAATATCTTTCCATGAGTAAACTAACTACTGTATGTATACTTTAAAATGCAGGCTTCATATATTAGCGGCTTTGGCGCAGACAACAATGCACTAATTCATGAATACCACTAAGAACTCATTTACATATATACAATACACCGCACAGACATGTGTAGCGCTAATTTATGATTAAGCCAACCCAGTGATTATGCTAAATTTTGAAAGCACCAAATTATATACATACTTTATACAGTATTCCAGTTTACAATTAGAAATGAAATCCCAATCTTTATCACTTCCATGTTTGAGAAATGCATAATGATATCATACACATATTAATCAGAAATATTTTGACAGCGATATCCTGGGGGAAAGCGGCAGTATGCCTGCCAATAAAATGTTAAAATAAAATAAAAATGTTTTCCTACCGACTTACCCTATCTTTTCTAAGGTTAAAATAGGAAACACTATCTATTTATCTTGGCCTTAGCAAAATAAAAAAAATACTTATATTTCATCGATAATGATGGTCTAAAATCATGTTTTCAGTAGGGCAATCAGGATAAATGTAGAACAGGATACATGTGAATTAAAGATAATGAAGGCGAATGGACACTATGCAAACCAAGGCATGTGAATAAATATATACAAGTAGGAAGAATGACTTGATAAAAAAAACGATAGCTAAATCAAGCTTTTTTGGAAGATTTAAATACCTTGTCTAACCCAGCTAGGAAATTTTAGCAATGGACCTTTTGAAAAGATGGAGTTCTCTGAGTCTGTGATGCATTTCTGACACTGACACAGTTTATTAATACACGTACAGTTTAAGATAAACTTTTTCAATTAATTCGCCCACACAGGCCTCACTAACAGTCAGACAGTCGCACCGTCTAACAGTCTAACATAATTTGCATGGGCATGAGGAGGATAGGCACATGTTTCACAAAAAATTGGGGACAAGCCTTAAACACCTACCATATCCCGGGGGTCGTGAATTCATATAAATCCGTAGTTTGTTTTTACAGGATAGCCATTAGGCCTATTGATAAACATCATACAATTATAAAATACCCAAGGTCTACAAAAAGTTTTACATTTTCATAACATTTTATTTGTGTTAAATATGTAAAAAGGTTTTTTCATAACATTTTATTTGTGTTGTAAAAAGGTTTTTTCATTTCAGACTAAACATTTTAAAAATATTTTAAAAACATTTCCTCTTCCCGTTATAACATTCTAAAAACATTTTTAAAATGTTTTCAAGAAGCTTATGATAAAATCATTTTGGAACATTTTCCTATAATGTTTTTGAAACGTGTTAAAAATGAATCAAAAGGTATGTTGAGCTTTCAAATGTTAAAGATTTTTATGTTGCGTTTTAAAAACGTTTTTAAAACATTAAATGAAACGTTTCTTTTCCATAAATCTGAAACATTGCATGAATACGTTTCTAAAACATTTGGATGGAACATTGTCAAAATGTTTTTAAAACATTTGTGATATTATTTAAGGAAAAATGTTTTTAAAGCGTTTTAAATATGATTTAAAAAATATGTCTATCTTTTAAATATTAAAGATTTTATATAACGTTTTAAAAACATTCTTAAAACATGAAATAAAACATTATAATTCTGTAAATTGGAAACATTGCATATTACGTTTCTGAAACGTTTGTAAGGAACATTTTAAAAAATACTTTTAAAACATTCTTAAAATCGCTGTTAGTTCAACGTTCAATTCCGGTAGGCAGTGAAAATGTTTTTTTAATTATTATTATATAAAATAATTCTTTTTGCTACAACTGAAACGTTTTACGTAATTATAGTTTTTTCAACATTTTTTGGAAACATTTTAAAAATGTTTCTAAAACGTTTATATAATTCATTTAGTAATTTTAGGAGTATATTGTGAGAATGTTTTTAGAACATTCAATTTAATGTTTTTTTTCTTTTCTAAAGACTTCATTTTCATTGCTACAACATTTTGTAATGTTACTTTCAAAATGTTCTTTTAAAAATTAAAAAAAAAATGTATGATTGTGATTTTCCTAAAATTGAGTTTGTAAAAAAAATATATACAGAGAGAGAATAGTGTTGAAATGAGGAATTGTAATTTTTTAATTGAAAGATTTTTTTCCGGTATAGTTTACAATAATGTCTATTTTTGGCTTATTAATTAAACAAATATATATAAAGTTTTAGATCAAATTAACAAAATTCGTCAAAAGTCAATAAATGAAAGGATAGGCAAACAAATTAAAATATAAATAAATGAATTTAAATAAAAAAAACATATAATATTCTTAATGTCTTTTTTTTCTTAAAAAATGTTCTTCGTCAAATTTGTGATCCACTCCCAGAATTTAACTCTGAGGCATTAGATAAGGATTGGCACACTGGTCAGCTTCAGTGTCATGATAACCTTGTTATGCAATTCTCCTGCTGGGCAGCGCGTTACAGTGTATAGTGGTTTGCAGCTTATCTAGGCCAAATTTTGAATTCTGGTAAACAAGATGTGCGCGCTTACTCCTTGCCGATTTGAATGAGAAGACTTTGCATCGTATAAACCACAAAAATAACCTCGGGATTTATTAACTCGGAATGGTAAGAATTATTCTTTTATCATAGACTTTAAAAGATAATTTAAAATGACTTTTAATCTACTAGTGCATGATCAATGATTCAATGTACACAAATGTATGTAGGAAAGACAAAACGTTAAGGTTAAACATGCATGTATTTGAATTGAATATTACATACTTAAGGCAATACAGTTATATCCTTGATTCAAATACTAGTATTTGTTGTATTTGTGAAAAGTTAATCATCAAGCAATATGTTTATTTAAATGAAATTACTTTACAGCATGGTGTTAGTGCCATCATCCGTTTGAATTCCCACATTCAAAAGACCCGCCTTTGGTGAAGGCAAAGGTGTACGTAAATACTATTACTATTCAATAATATTATTGTCATAGTAAATATTTTTATGCTTAATTTTTTATTAATGCAAAGGTGGAAAGATCTTAAATTGTAATATATATATATAAATTATTTCAAAATATATTTTGTATATTTTAATTGATCATCTTAAGATACATAAGATAGATTTAGAACAATGAATTTTCCTTATCTTTACAGGCCGTGCTATTCTTTCTGAGGGGCAGCCAGGGGCGTAGCTTGACTTTAATTTCTAGTGAGGCAAAACTATTGTGGCCGGGGGTCTGGGGGCCGCCTTAGGCCCCCAGCAGGTCCAGGGCGGAGCCCTGGTGGGGGGTTCAGGGGGGCGAAGCCCCCCGACGGAAAATGGATTTGTGGGATTTAGAATGTAAAAATAATACTGTCCTGGGCAGAAATTTCGCACCCCCCCACTTTCGCATTCATATGACACTACATGAACACACTGAATTTAAACGTATTTTAAGTAAAAAAAAAGTTTTTTTTCGAACTTCTAACACAATTTTTAAATATCTAAATATTGAATTTTGACATCATTTGAAAAGATACTAGTAATAGAATTATTCACTAGTTTACAGGGTTTGTGAAATACATGACGTCCATTATAATTTTTAACTTTAATTTTTTCTTTTCTTACAAAGGATGTCAACTGCGTCTGTCCCCCATTTTGCCCATGTTTATTTTAATATTTTTCCACAAAAATTACTTTTACGTTTTAGAACACAGGCACTTGTTTCTTTAATAAAGTTTTGACCCATAGTATAATAATTTATTATACTATGGGTCAAAACTTTATTACAGAAACAAGTGCCTGTGTTTTAGAACTAGAACCCGATCTCATGAATTTTGACCCTGAACATACTGATATGAAAGTACATTTTCTTAATTTGTTTAAATGATAAATAAAAACAATTAGGTTTAACAAAAACAAATCAATTCTTTTCTGTGATGTATTAAATTATGGGAAAGGGATGTTGCTGAAAAATCTAGTGAGGCAGCTGCCTCATTGCCACAATGGAAGCTACGCCCCTGTCCCGGCAGATTCCTTGTCAGCGTTTTCAGTGTATGTGATTCTAACGTTTAACTTTAGATCCGCCGCCCTGTTCGACCTATACAGTGAACATAGGATTTCTGTGATTCTTTTCTTTTAAAATTATGTTAATGGATTAGACGTCGTTTTCACCCTTTAAAACCCGCTGACTTGAAAGAAAATAAGTTAAACTTGTACCGATAATGGAACTTAAATGTGATTTACATATTGAATATGGGTTTGTATTAAAGGTTCAAAGATAAAATATAATTTGTGTTTATTTCTTTTAAAATATAAATATATCATTATTTAATGAGTAAAAGTGACATTTCAGGAAAAATACTTTGGTAACATTCGACTTAAACATGTTAAAATGTTTTAAAAACGATTTAAAATCCATACAAATTATTGAAATTAAAGTGAATAAAACATATTTGAAAACGTTTTTGTAACATCTTAAAACTATGTTATGATAACATTTGTTGAAATATTTTGTAAAATGTTTTAAAAACGTTTAAAAAACCATACAAAATCACGTGATTAAAACATTGCTGAAAAATGTTTTTGTAACATTTTAAGAAAATGTTCTGTGAACATAATCTGAAATATTTCACTAAAATGATTTAAAAGCGTTTTAAAAAAAATTCAAATTCACGTGATTAAAATATTGTTGAAAAATGTTTTTGCAACATTTTAAGAAAATGTTCTGACAACATTTGCTGAAATATTTCACTGAAATGTTTTAAAAACGTTTAAAAAACCATACAAAATCACGTGATTAAAACATTTTAAAAAATGTTTTCGCAACATTTTGAAAATGTTTTAAGAACATTTTACAAATGTTTTTGTGTTAG